AAGAGTGTATATATATATATATATATATATATATATATTGGAAGAGTGTAATCAGGAGCAGGTGAACTGAGTTGCCTCGCTGAAGTGGGTGTGGTGGACTGGCAGGAGTGAGAAATGTTAGGACAGGTGAGTCGCTGGCAGAGGCAGTGTGAGTGTAAATTTACTGAATGAGCAGAGTGTCTAGCCAGGAAGTGAGATTTTAGCTAGTGATGGCCAAACGAAGCTTCATGAACCACCAGTTGTATTTGCTGAAGCCACCATATGGCGCTCTTGGTGTAATGAAAAAGGCTCAAGGGATGACAATGCAGTTTGGTTTCAACCCTTTGTTGAACAAAGAGTGCCAGAGTGGACCCAAACAATAAAGAAAATGGTTCATGAAGCTTCATTTGGCCATTGCTAGTTGAAACCAAACTGCATTGCCATCCCTTGAGCCTTTTATTACACCAAGAGCACCATCTAGTGGGTTGAGCAAATACAACTGGTGCTTCATGAAGCTTCATTTGGACATCACTAATTTTAGCAAACTTACAAACATCAAGTTTGATGTATGCAGACTGTACGATGACAGCGCCTACTGAATCGCAGGCTACAACATACATCCATGGACGTCAATACGCAAGAACAAAACATCATCAGCAGGCGTCATACATCTACCCCGCTGAAGCAGTAAGAGAAAAATTAAAACAAACATGAATCGAGCCCTCGCTACAGTGGAATTCATGTGTTGAAAAAGTCTTGAAGAAGAGGAGGAGAAGGAGGAGAATGTGCACACTGTTGTAGCTGGGGCAAAGAGGCCAACTTGGCATTTCAATTTTGCAATGAGAGCTTGAAGTGTATTAATTAGCATCTACTAGCATTTAGCATTGTCACGCTAATCAGTGCATCATTTCATGCTGCATTTCTATTCGTTGGTTAGTAGATGTAGGTCGTAACTGTCAGAATTGTGTCAGAATTTTATCTCAGGTTGTCTTTGATTGCAAGATCGGGGCATTGGCCATCCTTGAACCTTTCTCACTGTGTGACGTAGGACCACTGTTTAAGAGCCATAACCAAAGGTATCGCCATGTTTCTGTCACGTTGGTCATCTTTCATCTGGGACAACGCAAAAAACACACAGTGTATACTGGGCCTTAGATTTGGGCGCCTTGACCTGGGGTCCATTTTGGATCAAACCTGCTCAGACAAAGAAAAGATAATATCCAGTAATTAATAGGTCTAGAATACAGAGTTTAAAAGTCTGAAATAACACAAAAAGACACATTGTCAGAGTATGTTTGGAAATTTTAATAAACAAAAGAAAAATGGAAAAGAAGAACTACAGAAGAAGAAATGGTCATTCTAAAGTGGGAGTGAAAAGGTCAGTGAGAAAAAGCCTTACAGCAAGTGCCTTTGTTTTTCTTTTGACAATATTCAAAATGAAAGAAATGTATAATACAGGGCTTGTGTGGTCCCTTAGGAAATTTATAATGCAGATATTCCAAATGCACGTTCATCTACAAGGAGCTATGGTAGGTAGACTGATTGAATGGTATAGATTCCTGGCTGTGGGCTGTGTTTATTGCCACAGAAGTAGCTGAAACAATAAGACACAGAGATGCATATAATCTACAACAGGTGTGGTAGTGATGGGTTAAGGAGCACAGTGGTCTAGAAATGTATTAATATTCCAAATGCAGTTTGATTTCAAACACCTGTGTTGGCTGGTTTTAATGCAACAAGTCATGCTCACATCATTAGTCCTAGAGATTTACTGCATATTTACATCATTAATTTAAGTCCAGATGTATATGTCTCTTTTCTTTTTATAAAATAATTTTCTTTCCAAATCATAGTGTCCACCTATGCTACCTGTTGGTGATACATACAGTAACAATATGCTACACACGGTTGACGAAGCTCAGATTCAAAATTGCGTGTATGGAAATTAGGCTATAAATCTACAAGTGCTGGGGCCTCTGTGCATCTGTCGGAGGAAAGCTGGTTCAGACAATTATTGTTCTGTTTCTATTTGCTCTTCAGCTCTGAAGACTCTTGTCTGTCCCTGGAGACTCTTCAAAACAGCCTGTTTCTAGTTGCCCTTGCCTTTTTTCTTCTTCCCTGGAAAAAAGACAGACATTGGCACTAATGTTACTTCACAAGATGCTGGTCTGTAACTGAACACGAATATGGCATTCAAATGAGTAAGTGGGTTTACATATTTCTCGTGTACAACTGGAATTTTTGGCCTAATAGCAGTGCCAGGTCAAGCTTTCACAGCCCCTTCATATCCCCAAGTCGTCAAATACCACGTCTTGATTAGTGAGTTCGGCGTCAGACACCGGTATGATACGCCGCCAGTAACAATGTAATATAAGGACTTGGATAGTCGCTATAGGGTGGGCAGGAGGGGAGGTGGATGGGTACGATGTTTTATTTTTCGAAACCTAACACATGCTTTTGTTGGACAAGGAAATAAACCTAGCACGCACATGCCAACAGGGAGGTGACGCCAGGGCGCAAACCGAGTTACCACTCCCATCTCTGGTAGAATTACAGAGATTTCTTGTCCCGTGTGAATTTATATAAGATATCCTGTGGTAAACTGACATTAGTCCACATCCCTTTGTAAAACTAATCCCGTCCGAATAGTACTTAACAAGCAGAAACTGCATCTGGCAGACGTAAATTCACACGGCGTCCCAGAACGTTAGCAACAGACGCTTCATACCTAGTGCTTCATAGGCAGACGTGAAAGTCCGCTGACTAAACAGCGATATTTGACGAGATGGGATGAGAACATGTTGGGTTTCACAGTTGTCAGAAAACATCTTCTGAGGACAGTGAACATCCAGCAAATTCAGAAATACCTCAGCAACCGTTGAATGAAGTGTCATGAAATTTTGTGCAGACATTCATTGTCCCCAGAGGATGAGTTCTAATCGCTTTGGTGATCCACTGACTTTTCATCTAGTGCAACCATTAGGTTCATATGTACGGTTTTTGGTTGAATATATTGACAGCTATTTAATGGATTAACATGACTTGCGGTGACTCCTTGAGTTTTAGCACCAGGTTTTCAGAGAGTGGGTCATTATTGCGAAATAAAGTCCTTCAGGGTGATTCAAGATCTGCATCCTGCATCATCCTGTCTGGGTTTATTTTGCAACAACAAACTGCTCGCTGTGTATTATCACTGATTACATCATGTTACTGTTGTGAACATGTTGATATTAGCATTTAGCCCAAAGCACTACTGTGCCTCAGTACAGCCTCACAGAGCTTCCTGCATGGCATCGCTGTAGAATTTATTCATTGATGCAAAAATCTGTAATGGTGGAGATGGCTAAAATCAGCAGTCGGTGCATTCAAGTGCAAACTCCTTCAGTGTGTTGTCTAGACATGAAAAAAATACATGATACATCACAGTTTATTGTTCTTCATTGAGATGGAGAGACATCACACAATGAACTTGTGAGTCTAACCTTTGGGTTTTGTCTTGGTTTTCCCGGTGCAAGGTTTGGAGATGGAGATAGTCTGTTGACACTCTACATTGTACAGAGCCTTCTTCAATGTCCCTGTTCTGGTCTTTGAGCTGGAGCTTGGATCACATTCTCCCCAATTACCAAAGCGATACTTACAGTCAGCTAGAGGAGAGAGGAAAAGAGACAGACAGGAGATACCTGAACACAGGGAACGCAGCTGTCATACATACATACATACATGGTCCAGTGGGAATAGGTAACTGTAATGGGTGCCTTAAGGGCACTTGAGGCAGTGATAGAAGACACATTTAGAACATGCATTCAATGCTGCACTTCATTTTTATTTGTCAAACAGAACTCACCTTGTACCAAAAATAACTTGCTTCTCCTTTATAAAGTTGGTACAGTGCACTTACTGTGATGTACTCGTGCTATTACTAGGTAATATTATCTCCAACAATGGGATTTATTTGAATTATCATGCCAATGAAATGCAGATATACCTGCCAATCCTTCTCAATGATTCTATGAGTCTTTCAAATCTTTATGCTAACCTAAATTTTGGGTATTTGACCCAATACTGCCATTTAAACCTCATATTAAGGGTTAGCTGAGCTTTTCAGCACCTCCAAAGCATAGACAGAATCCACCAATTTCTCTCTGAAGATACTGAAATTTTGATCCATACATGTGAATCTTCCTGACTTGACTATTGAAATTTTCGTCTGCAACTTCTCCAGAACACTACTGCTATAACCATAACCATAAACACTAAATTTCTACATTCAGTACTGACTTACTGACTACTGACGTCATATAGTATGAGTCAGTCGATACTTGTACATGAAAAGCCAAAATTTTAAATGTTAATCGAATCATAGCTATGGAGGTGATACACCATCATGTCCAGTAAAGTAGAACTTTGGTACTAGTTTTTAGTCTTCTTCTAATACTTCTTCTTCTACTAGTACTAGTTCTTCCTCTACTCGTATTAGTTCTTCTAGAACTAGATATTTTCCTTCTTCTTCTTCTTCCTCTACTAGAAATAGTCCTTTCTTCTTCATCTTCTACTAGTACTACTTTTCTTCTACTTGTACTAGATATTCTATTTCTTACCCTTCTTCCCTAGTACTAGTTCTTCTTTGTCTAGTACTAGATCTTTTTGTATTTCTTCTTCTTCCTCTTCTAGCACTAGTTCTTGTTATTCTACTAGTGGTAGTTCTTGTTCTTGTTCTTCTTCTTCTTCTTTTTCTGCTTCTTCTCCTAGTATGTGTTCTTCTTTTTCTTCTTCTAGTGGTACTTCTTCTGGTACTAGTACTTTTCCTTCTTCTACTAAAAATAGTTCTTCTAATACTAGTTCTTCTACAAGTAATAGTTCTTCTACGAGTGATAGTTCTTCTACTCATACTAGTTCTTCTAGTACTAGATTTTTTCCGTCTTCTTCTTCTACTAGAAATAGTTCTTTCTTCTTCTTCTACTACTAGTACTAGTTCCCCATCCTCTACTAGTACTAATTTTTCTTCTACTTGGACTAGATCTTCTTTTTCTTCCCCTTCTTCTCTAGTACTAGTTCTTCTTCTACTTGTACTAGTTCTTCTAGTACTAGATCTTTTCCTTCTTCTTCGACTAAAAATAGTTCTTCTGTCTTCTTTTTCTTCTAATACTAGTTCTTCTTCAAGTAATGTTCTGCGATTACACTAGTTCTTCTTCTATGAGTAATAGTTCTTCTATGAGTGATAGTTCTTCTACGAGTGATAGTTCTACTAGTACTAGTTCTTCTACTCATACTAATTCTTCTAGTAATAGATTTTTTCCATCTTCTTCTTCTTCTTCAACTAGAAATAGTTCTTTCTTCTTCTTCTTCTTCTTCTTCTTTAGTACTAGTTTCCAATCCTCTACTAGTACCAGTTTTTTTCTTCTAGTGCTAGATCTTTTAATTCCCCTTCTTCCCTCGTACTAGTTCTTCAACCTCTACTAATACTAGTTCTTCTTTGTCTTCTTCTTGTTCTTCTTCTTCCTCTCCTAGTATGTGTTCTTCTTTTTCTTCTTCTAGTGGTACTTCTTCTTGTACTAGTACTTTTCCTTCTACTAAAAATAGTTCTTCTAATACTAGTTCTTCTACAAGTAATAGTTCTTCTACGAGTGATAGTTCTTCTACTCATACTAGTTCTTCTAGTACTAGATTTTTTCCGTCTTCTTCTTCTACTAGAAATAGTTCTTTCTTCTTCTTCTACTACTAGTACTAGTTCCCCATCCTCTACTAGTACTAATTTTTCTTCTACTTGGACTAGATCTTCTTTTTCTTCCCCTTCTTCTCTAGTACTAGTTCTTCTTCTACTTGTACTAGTTCTTCTAGTACTAGATCTTTTCCTTCTTCTTCGACTAAAAATAGTTCTTCTGTCTTCTTTTTCTTCTAATACTAGTTCTTCTTCAAGTAATGTTCTGCGATTACACTAGTTCTTCTTCTATGAGTAATAGTTCTTCTATGAGTGATAGTTCTTCTACGAGTGATAGTTCTACTAGTACTAGTTCTTCTACTCATACTAATTCTTCTAGTAATAGATTTTTTCCATCTTCTTCTTCTTCTTCAACTAGAAATAGTTCTTTCTTCTTCTTCTTCTTCTTCTTCTTTAGTACTAGTTTCCAATCCTCTACTAGTACCAGTTTTTTTCTTCTAGTGCTAGATCTTTTAATTCCCCTTCTTCCCTCGTACTAGTTCTTCAACCTCTACTAATACTAGTTCTTCTTTGTCTTCTTCTTGTTCTTCTTCTTCCTCTCCTAGTATGTGTTCTTCTTTTTCTTCTTCTAGTGGTACTTCTTCTTGTACTAGTACTTTTCCTTCTACTAAAAATAGTTCTTCTAATACTAGTTCTTCTACAAGTAATAGTTCTTCTACGAGTGATAGTTCTTCTACTCATACTAGTTCTTCTAGTACTAGATTTTTTCCGTCTTCTTCTTCTACTAGAAATAGTTCTTTCTTCTTCTTCTACTACTAGTACTAGTTCCCCATCCTCTACTAGTACTAATTTTTCTTCTACTTGGACTAGATCTTCTTTTTCTTCCCCTTCTTCTCTAGTACTAGTTCTTCTTCTACTCACACTAGTTCTTCTAGTACTAGATTTTTTCCTTCTTCTTCTTCTACTAAAAATGGTTCTTCTGTCTTCTTCTAATACTAATTCTTCTTCTACTCGTATTAGTTCTTCTAGTACTAGATTTTTTCCGTCTTCTTCTAGTTCCCCATCCTCTACCAGTACTAGTTTTTCTTCTTCTAGTACTAGAGCTTCTTTGTCTTTCCCTTCTTCCCTAGGACAAGTTCTTCATCCTCTGCTAGTACTAGTTCTTCTTTGTCTTCTTCCTATTCTGGTGCTAGTTCTTCTTCTTCTTCTTCTTCTACTACTACTACTAGTTATTCTCTCTTTCATTCATGCAGCAGCATATTCCAAAGTACACACCCTGACCTAAAAAGCACTACATGGGTTAGCACTTGGTTACAATGCAGATCTAATTAAAACATATACGCCTGCATGCTTTCTGCATTCTGTTGATAACTTATTCATCCCCCAGAATTCACACAAAATCGCACCTTTTCCAGGTCACTTTCATAATGTGGTCCCTCCCTTTGTTTTTCTCTCATGAAATAAAAACATAAAGCCTCTGGCCACAACTGTTGCTGCCAGAATTTAGATAGAAGTAGAGTCATTGCTTTGGAGGTGATACACCATCTCGTCCAGTCACATCGGTGTCAGGATGTTGTAGGATGCCTTGACAAGTAGTTGCAAGTTGCAATTTTGTTGTTGCAAATCTGTGGTCTGAACTGGGCTTAAAGGAGGATACCAACCTGCAGAGTTATGCAACACCCGTCGTAAACCTCCAAGCATGATGGTTAAAAAACACTTATTATCTTCAGAGTACAAGCTTCAGGCATCTCACCGTAAAATGTGTCATAATCATCAGTTGTTGAACCAATTAGAGATGAATCTTTACTGCCAAAGTGTGACACAAATTATCATTATAGCTACACAGATGTATTTATACTGGATTGCATCATATGTTACAGGTGCCTGTGATGTTTTTTTGTATTGAGATAGTGTGGAATTACTCTGTCAGTGTCAGCCGTTTGTCTGATGCTTTAGAGAGCAAAGGTCCACAGATAATGTATTAATTCTAGCTGCAGACTTCACTCTGGGATATGCAGTTTACCTCCACTAATTTCACCTGCTCTGAATCCATCCATCAAATCTCTAACTTTATAGGCCAATGGAGCACAACCATTCTGTGTGTGTGTGTGTGTGTGTGTGTGTGTGTGTGTGTGTTACCTCCAAAGTCCTTTTTCCAGTTGCAAGGTACTCTACATTTCATCTTCTTGTTCTGCTGGTCACATGACCCCTCTCTAAACCCTGCTCCGCAGTCCCCGTTGCTAGGGACACAGTTGCCATAGCGCCAGTCAGTGCATTCTGACCCGGGCTGGGAGGGTTTGTTTTTCTCTGCGGACAAAATAAGGATTCATTAAGTGTTTCAGACACGCATAGTTTCAATATTATCTCAACACGCAATCCATAAATTCAGGGACAGTGCTGCTGGTGGTGAGCACGAGCTGCTGAGTTCAACCAGTCTGCTGGAGAGGGCTGCTCACTGGGAACTGCCTGTATGAGGAAAGCAGATTAAGCAATTAGGTGTTCAGGGCCCTTCCTTAATGTCTACAGGTAGTGTGTTCCATAGCTTTGAGGTGTAACTGACAAAGGCTGCGTCTCTGATCTTCTTCCTGTTGCTGCTGGGAACCTCCAATAACCTCCAAGCAATGTAGCTTGGTCCTAGCCCATGTGGGACTTTGTATACAAGAAGGAGGACCTTAAAAGCAATTCTAAATGTAACAGGAAGTCAGTGCAGAGCAGCTCAGACTGACCTGACGTGCTCTCTCCTCTTGGTTCTGCTTAATAGCCGAGCTGCAGAGCTTTGAATGAGCTGAAGTCTCTCGATGGTGTTTTTTTGGGAGGCCAGTAAAAAGTGTGTTACCGTAGTCGAGGCGGCTTGAAATAAAGGCATGAATCAATTTTTCAGCATGTGTTTCATTTAGAAATGGTCATAACTTAGCGATGTTTCTGAGGTTGAAAAATTATGTTTTCGTCACCTTGTTAATGTGGGACTTAAAGCTCAGATCTGAATCTAGGATCACACCAAGACTTGTAACCTGAGATAAAGGGCCAGTCCCAATACCGCCCTCTTGGCCCTACCCCTACATTTGCGCGTTCCTCAGTAGTGGTGTCCCAATCCCTTTTCGCGTGTAGGGGTAGCGGGCATAACAAGGGATAGTGGGCTAGCCCTTCGGAGCGAGGGATTTCAGATGCTGACTTGCCAGCGAGGGGTTAACGTCGCCATGGCTACCACCAAGCAAGAGACGGGGAAAAAAGTAAGTACATAGCTAACGTTACCGTCGCCAGGTTGCTTGTTAGCTAGCTAGCTAGCTCGCACTATCTGCCGTCTGTCATCTGTCCTGTTCTGCACAATTGTCGGATTTTTCACATTACGATAACATGCCAGCTAGTTTAACTATGCTACCTCGTAATGTTAGCTGGTTAGCTAGCTAGCAGAAGTCCCCTGTCACCTGTCGTTCATCAAACGAATCAGGATGAATGTGGCAAACGCAATTGGTAGGATGAATGAGACTCCATCGTAGATGGCAGTTGGAAATGTAGATGGCTTGCAGCTTCTTGTTTAAAAAAATAGTTACCGATGCGGTGATGTAGTGAGTGGTGTCCCAATTTCTAGGGAAAGATTTCTACCCCTACCCCTCGTTGCTTCATTTTGAGGGCCAAGGGGTAGTGGGCAAGGGCTAGGGGTAGGGCCCAGGGCCAAGGGCTAAGGGCTAAGGGCTAAGGGCTAGGGGTAGGGCCAAGGGCCAAGGGCTAAGGAGGAGTAGTGGACAAGGGGAGGGGGGGGGGGGGGGG